ATTACACCGGCACATCTCAGCTTGGGAATTGGGAACTCGTCTCCAGCCAACTGTTTAATTTTTATTTTTTAAATGAAGTATTTAAGAAAAAAAAGAGCCTAATTAATTTCCTATAAAAACAAATTAATATAGACATGAGCTGCTTAGCTGAAATAACCAGGCAAATGAAAGCTGACTGGAGAGCTCCTTATGGGCCTGTATAGGACATTTTTGTATTTGCAGGGCTCCGAGGAATTCATGCTTCGTGGGTACCTGTAATCAGCCCAGCTGCAGGAGGGCTCGTGCAGGCTGTGCTTTTGCTGCTGTGAGGAGGTGTTTTCTACTGCAATCGCTACCTCAATGTCAACAAGACCCTTCAGTTTTAACTTTGATGTAGTCAAGGTAAAGTCAAAATGTGTTTGAGGTGGAGGAGTGGGGAAGGGACTTGGTGTAGCAAGATGATGCTAAAAGTGTACAGGAGCTGAAAAAGCAAGCTGATAAATTTGGGGCAGAAAAACGTTAAGGGTGTTGAATACAGAGCTACAGCCTGGCTCAGGGAGTGCATGATCCAGGAATCTCTGGAGGCTGGGAGGGTATTCTGGAAAAGTATTGCTGTGTTGTGCTCTGTTCTTATACTCTTCTTTAAGCATCTGCTCTTGGAGCTGGTCAGATAGCAGGTACCATGCTTACTGGACCTTTGGCATGACCTGCTATGACTGTGCTTTGTTATTATGGTAAAGATACGTGATGTTCATGTTGCTGTTCTGCTAGGAAAACTGGCCTTCTTTCACAGAAGAGCCTGAAATTCTTTTAAGAGCATCATGTCAAAGGGCTGTGTCTGCGTATTGCCATCAGCCAGGGCTAGCTCTGGGACATGCCAATGTGGCAACCTTCTGCCATCGTAGCCGCCATTTGTAGTTGGTGCCAAATGTGCTGGTTATTGGAATGCAGATCAGGAGTACATCCAGAAACACCTCCCGCTGCTATTCTGCTGCTGCTTTGGGAAGGTGTGCCTGCTGCAGGATCCATGGCTGTGTGACTTGGTGGGGTGGCATGGAAGGGCATTTGCCACTCCCCAGCCTGCTCCTGGAGGACATGCTGCCCCATGGCTGGCTGCAGCCCACCTTCATCCTCCAGGCCAAGAAGTGGGAACTGTCCAGTGGGAAAGATCCTGCTCACTTTGCTGTCTCGTGGTCACTCTGCAGGGATGTGGGGCCAAGTCACCAGCGTGACCCTGCTGCTATTCCTTCACTCAGACCCCACCTTAAGTTTTCTCCCTCACAGACTAAAGTCATGTTCTCCGGCTGCAGAGTCTAAGTCTCGTCATGGAGACAGCAGAAGCAGTGCTACATCAGAGCCGCAGGCATTGATGTACTCACTTATGCATCCTCCAAAATGCTCCTGGCCCCGTGCAAAGCATTGGCTCTCTGCGGGGCAGCGCTTTCTTGCAGTGCTTCCCTTAGCTTCTGTGCCAAAGGCAGCCAGGTGGACTCAGATTTAATGAGGTTTTGTTTCACATGACTTCTTCCATCATAGGAAAGGAACAAACAGGTGGAGGGTTTTTAAAGCAGGTCATAGAGTATCGATAAGAGCACCCTTTTAATTCTTAATTCAAGTAAAAAGCAGACTCTTGGAGTGGAAAGTTTTCTTTCTATAACACTAAGTACTTGTGCTTCCCCTTTATTCTGTATGCAGTGTACTTGCAGCAGGGCCAAGAGCTGTGGATTTCTCTTGCTCTCTCACTGCTAGAGACTGGCTGCTTCTGCCCTTCGTTAGCTTGTTGAGAGGAGCAGAGAACTGGGAGGGGTTGGCTCGGTGAGGCAGGTGCTAACTGGAACAATTTTGAGAGAGAACACAGTAGAGGTTGACTGCAAGAGAGGGCTGTTTCAGCACAGCCCATAGAAATGACTCCCCTGGCTGGCGTGGTTTTGCTATCTTAGTGTTTCTGATCAGGCTGATTCCACAGTACCTCTTGTCCTGTACAGAGATAAGAGGGAGGATGCTTCACGCCTTCCAGATACTGGTACCATTTCTCCAGCATTGTTCCCGTGGCCATGCAAGATACTCCTTTCCCTCCAGTCCTGCTAGTGCTCCTGTTTCTGCCCATAGCAGAATGTGGCCTGCAGTCCCATGTCATTCTTGTTTCCTTCTCCACACTGGGCTTTTTTCAGAGGCAAAGGGGCAAAGCTACCTGTAATGCCAGTTTACATCAGAGGGAGCAGCAGATACCCAATGCTGCCAAAAGAAAATGCTCCTGTAAATATTTTAGGGAATAATCTATGTGAAGACTGTTTTGGGATATGATGGATCTCTAGGCTGTGTTTTGTTTTCCTTCTCTCTTTGCAGATACTGCTCAGGGAATGGTGGAGAACAGAAAGCATATGCTGAGTAACAAAAGGCAAAAGAGCATGACATTGCTTGTTTTTGTTCAGTCATGCTGAGAAAAGTGCACTGTGGTGTGAGGCTGGAGAATGTGTTTAGGTCTCTCCTGAGAAAAATGCTTAGCTGATGTGCTCTATTCTGACTTGCCTTCAGTTCTGTTAGAGTAGATAAAGCTCTGCAGAGGAGGGGCAGATCTATTCAGCACTGCTTTCCACCCTGAAAGCACAGCTGCTGGCAAAGCAAACTCCTCTGCCCTGACCGTGGTATGGGGCTCATCTCCAGCTCTAGCTTTTATGCTAAACATCCCACAGCTGCCAAGCGCTGGTCACGTCGTTGTGTGCATTCAGCCTTGCCAGTGGACCTTGAGTGTGTGGGCTGTGCTATTCTTCAGGTATGCGTGAGTGGGAGGGAAGAGTATGTGGTATATCTGAAGAGTAATTTAATATATTCATTGGTGGTGGGGGGGGATACATGTGCATATAATCCTGTAACAACGTGTCACAGGCTTGGAAAATATCTGGAAAATCCCAGGTCAGCCATTCTGTGTGAAATTGTAGCTTCTCTCTGCTTCTAACACTGGCCCGGGGGCGGGAGCCTCTGTATTCTTTTGCCGTTAATGCTTGATTGCTCCCCTGTGTGTGAGCTGCTGTGGGACGTGTGCGGGGACTGCGTTGTCTCCTTGCTTGACATAGTGAAGAAGATGAAAAGAGCAGGAGATGTTCTGGGACAAAATGGAAATGCAAACCCACAGCATGTGTGGCACTGAGCAGAGCGGGGAAAGTAGTTGGTAAATCGAAGACGCCACGGTTCAAGGATTTCTTCTAGGGATGATCCCTTTCAAAAGCGATCGCCTTAACTAATGTAGTAAAGGTTTAAAAAATTGTGCATGACACTTCTGTCTATCCTTCCTGTCTCAGCCCTCTTTTTCTGCCAAACCTTTCCTACAGCCTCCCATCTCCTCCATGCCTCGCTTTGCTGTACAGTCAGACTGTGCTGCTGAACATTATGCCGAATTGTTAGGGCCTTCACCCTTTTTATACATCTGTCCCCTTGCACCGAAAGAAATCTGTGCTTCGTCCGGAATTCCTCCTCTTCTCTCCTGCCTGTTGTAAGAGCTGAGTTCTCAGACTCTCTCCAGAAATTGGATGGTCAGAGAGGAGGGAACTGGTTCATTGTTTGTAACCGGTTTGGCTCTCAAGGCTGGCGTGGGGTTTGGCGGGAGATAGCTGTCAGTTCTCTAACACGGGTTAGTGTTTCTGTGCCGGGGGGTGAGTGTGGCGTGTGTGGCACATGTGAGCTCAGCGTAGGGAGAAAGATCGATTCGCACAAGCTGCGTGCCTGCCTGAGTAAGAGGGCCAAGGCCGAGCAGCCTGCGATGCCTCCGTGCCTGGCACAGAAGCAGAAAGCTCTGTGTGTCAGCAGTAGATAGCAAGCGTAGGTGCAGCACGCTGAACCAAGGGCACTGCTGGGGTAAGTGTGCTGTGGATTGAGACTGGAACATGTGTTTTCTTGGGAACTGCTGCACAGTTGGCAGATGATATACCTTGCCTGCTATTGTATCTGATTTGCGTTTGCCAAACAGCATTAAACACGTTATCTCTGCCCAGCAGGTATGGTTTCAAAGCTGGCGAGTGTCTGTTCTGGGGAAGGTGAGTATTAATACCTGGAAATTTATGCATTAGGGCTCGTGAGACACTTGCTCTGGTGGAGAGCAAATTCAGCTGGATAAAAGCTTGGTACATCAAGACTAGTTTTGCCTCCACTGAAATCTTTTGGCTGTGTCTGTCCCTTGGTGCTTTCTGTTCATCTGAGCTGCTGGTAGGACTCAGAACTGCTTAGCTGCAAAGTCCCTTTTGGGGATGTGTTTCTCCCATGAGTGCATGGAAGTTGGTTCTTGCTGCCTTTACTGATCAGTTCACAGTGAAATTGTCATTGAACACAAGGAACCACTGGTGTGACCATGCTGGTTACAGGAGCCATAGTAGGAGATCTGCTGCAAGGGGTGCTGTCTTACACATCAGAGAATGCAAACAAGCTGCTATTGTAGGCTGTGGTTATAAATATCAGGTTATTATGGAGGCAGTTTTAATGAACGAAATGACTTGCCACTATTCACGCTGATTGTTGCGTGGGTTTTTGTTTGTTACTCCATTAAGAGGTAAAAAAAGCAAATGTAGCTTCTTTGTGTCCTTTAGAGTGGCTTTCTCTGTCAGTATTGCAGCGTTGGGGCTCTAGAGGTGATGGGGCAGAGATTATTCTTACAAACAACGCTTTTCTCTAGTTTGAAATGAAAAATCAGAACTGACAAAGAGTCTCTGGCTTTTTTTCAGAGTACCATAAAATCTAAACTTCCAGCCTTGTCTTCAAGGTATTTGAAGGTATTTATTGGCTTATATTTTATGAGGATGATGGTATGTTTTATTGCTCTCTGTGGGTGACAGTCTGTCTACTTCCAATGTGTGTGACGCTGGCAGATCACCTCTGTTTTGCTTGGCAGAAGAGTGGCCCTTCAGGACGGTTAATAAGGCTGTGCCAAGCGCTGCCCTGTGCTTTCTTGAAGGTGGGGTGGCAGCTGTGCTCAATGCTGGTGTTTGCTTCTTACAGGTGTGATCTGTGCCTCTCCTCCCCAGCTGGGTGCCATGGCTGACACGATTTTTGGCAGCGGTACAGGCCAGTGGGTGTGCCCCAACGACCGGCAGCTGGCACTGCGTGCCAAGTGAGTCCTTGCCACCTCCCTCCTCTCCTTCCAGCCTCAGCTCTGGCCTGAATGGTTTCCCAGTATCTGTGTGGAGCACTGGCCCACTGGCCTCATCCACAGCCTGGTTGGGAGGCAGGAGCTTGCCTGTCATGCAGAGCCCTCTGTACCCTAGAAGTGGGCTGCTTGGGTGGGACAAGAGCCTGCTAAGCTGGGGCTTGGTGCTTGGCTGCTGCTCGGAGCTGCCAGCCTGCAGTGGAGTTTGCAGTGTGGCTGGTGTGTGGTGGGAGTCCATCCCACCAGCCCTCCCCTGGGTGAAAGGAAGGGCTTGGAGGCTGGTTCATATCTCTGCAGCACCCTAAATATAATTGATAGCATCCCCCAGCTGCCAGCACTCTTCTGTTTTAGGAACTTGTCATTTGATCTCATTTTCCCCTGAAGTTAAATTACTGCATAACCTAAAGACAAAAGGGATGGAGATGAGTCAAGCACTAGAATTGCATTTGTTTCTTGTATGCTTTCCTTCTCTGGCAGCCAGTACCATGCCACTGCCACCTCTGCTCTTGTTTGAACCTCTGGGGTCAGCCTGCTGCAGAGTGTTAGAAAATAGGAGGTCACCCTATGTCTGAGGGGACTGCCTGAGTGTGAACAGTGCACGCCACTGCCACTTCTCCAGCCTTCACCCGAAAGCCTCATTAAGACAGCTATGTCTAATAGTGCCCTGCATTCTGCTAGCAGCCGTGACTTTATCCAGTGACCTCTAAACCCCTACTGAATGGTAATTAATTGAGCTGTGAAAGCTCCCGCCTGTACTCAAGTGAGCTAAGGAGAAATGTCAGCTGCTGTATGTGAGGCATGGAGGGAAGTGGCTTGCTAAAGTCCTTGTGCGGGCCTGGGTTAGACCGAGGGAGGAAGTTGCCAAATTTATATTTCCAAGCGTGCCTGGAGATTTGTGTGTTTGAACTGAGGACCTTAGAAATGTGTGATCTAGAGGGAGGAGGGTACAGGTAATCCCTGTGTTCTGGAGTCTGCTGTTTGCATTTGTGGTGTTTAGCGTCAGTACTCACCTCTGCAAGGGGACCCTCAGGATAGCCAGCCTTAGGTCACTAGTTTTCTTTATGGGCAGAGTCAAACAGGAGTGAGGACATGGAGTGGTAAAATACAAACTGGAGCAGAAAGGGAAATGAGAGGGCAGGGAGAGACAGCGCAGCACTCAGTGCTGCTGGAGGAGTGATGTGGTGATCTGGTCAGTGAGAAGATACTCCTGCTTTGGGCATTAGCCAGGGAACAGACTTCTCTGATGGAAGGCTGACGCAGGCTCTGTGTGCCTTGCAGGTTTGGCCTGTGGGGCAGGTCAGGGGTTTTGTGTTTTCCTTTCACAGCTTAATTCTTCCCTCCACCCCCTCCCACAGGCTCCAGACGGGTTGGTCGGTGCACACGTTCCAGACTGAGAAGCAGAGGAAGATGCAGGCTCTGAGCCCACAGGAACTTGAGGTCATTCTGGAAGTCATCCGCAAGGCGGAGAAATTGGACATCATCGAGCAGCAGCGCATCGGGTACAGTCACGTTCATTTGTCCCCTTCCCTCAGAAGGAAAAGTCAGCGCAGGCAGAGGAGTGGCTTTCCCAGCTGCCTGAGCTCAGCCTCCATCAGTCAGAGCATCCCTTAGGTCAGTTATTTTCCCCTCCCATGTTGCTTGTTTGGAGGTGATGAACATTGGGAAGGATGTGATGTTTTCCTTCTCTCCATGTCTCAAGCCTTTCTCCTGCCTTCTTTGAGCCTTGGGGATTGCTGTGGTTGCAGCCACTGACACAGTCCCTGGTAAACGCAGCCTGTGCTAAGGCAACTGCCCCAGTGGCTCTGGAAGAGGCTGGGGAAGATGCTGAGCTGTGTAGCTGCACCCACTGCTCATGGACAGCAGCGCTCAGAAACCGCTGCTGGCAGCACAGTTAGGTTTTCCCTTGTCTGCGGCAGCCCCCTGGGATTTTGCCTGGAGCAGTGAATGAGTTTATGTTCTAGTTGGCTGAACTCTCTGGAAGGGGTTTGCTAGCTTGAATTATTTAATTTACGGGCATCCTTTTGCTGCTGCAGATTTCCATTTGCTTTCAGTCCTGATGGAGATCTGGCCTCAGCTGTGTCTGTGGTTGTGGTACACTGACTGCCTTTAAAGCTGGGGAGTTCGGCAGTCCTGCAGCATTTCCCAGCAGTGTTACATGTTTGAGAGACAGGAAATCCCAGTGACTCCCAGCCTGTGTCCAGCAGGCCCAGCTTCCTGCCCCTGCGCTTCGCTCTGTCCCTGTGCAGCGCACATTAGTGAGTGCTAACGAGAACTGACAGTGATGTTTGTGTGATATATGGGAGACCCCAGCAGTGCCAGAAGCAGCCAGCGATCCTGAGGGGCTGATCGTTCCTGTGCAGTTGTTGGTGTCGCTGCAGAAAGCGATAGCCTTGCTGTTCCCATGCTGAAACATTCTCTGAAATGCCTTTGTTAACTCCTGGGAGTTCTCTTGTGCTGAAGTTAAGGATCATAAATCCACTAATGATGGCTCAGCCTGGCTGTGCTGTCTGACCTCATCACCATAGGCAGTACCTCTTTTAAACAGACCTTGCCTTCCTCTCAGTATGGGACTTGGTTGATGGGACATTAGCACTAATGAGAATGGGGTTGCATGGATAGCATGATTGTGTTTCCTCCCTGAGCCACATGCACGTGTATGGCTGCGGCTAGTCACTGCCTCTGATAAATGACCTGGCTGTTATTGTCCCCATCTACAAATGGATGCCTGAGAATTGCCAAGCAGTGATCTCATGACAGCAGCCTTGCTCTGCATGCTCTCGACATCCTGCACCCTAATTGCTTATCCCGCCTTCCTTCCCTTTCGTAGTCCTGCTGCTATAGACATTGTGCATACATATGTGCTTCCTGTCTTCCAAGCAGACTGTCAAATGAAGCAGGGAGCAGTTACTGCCATTCCTGTACTGCAGCCGGGCACGTTTTGGTCTGATGGCTTCAGTCTGGCCTTCCTGCTTCTAATGGGATGTGGGCAAGCCATGTGCCTGCAGTGCTGCTTTCAGGGAGTGTATGTGAAAATGGAGCAGGGTTTGGCAGGTATAAGCCCTTTCCTGGTGCTGTCTGACTTGCCCTGATCTGAGCACTAAATGCTTTTCTTGCTCTACAAGCAGGAAATCGTTGTGCTGAGACTGTGTGGCCTAGGTGACACTGAGCTCCTGAAGGGCGTGAGACCAAGCCCCTCTGCCCTGCACCCACTAGCTGAGTCAGGCCTGTCAGTGGTATTTGCAGTTTTGCTTATTCTGGGCTTGGTTAGCATGGGTAGATGGACTTTCAGGAGTTTGTATCCCTGGAAGACTGAGAGCCAGCTGATCAGAAACACTGAATGCAGAGACTGGTGAAAGTACATATGGTTCCAGCAAGGGGCCCAAAATGGCACAGAAGAAGCAAAGGTAGGCTGAGTCTGGAGCACACATCTGCAGGTTTTCGGCATGCCTCAGTACCATGTGCTTCAATTTCCAAGGTGAGTGCTGTGACTCTGCTCTGCCTCTTCCCCAACAGGCGCCTGGTGGAGCGGCTGGAGAACATGAGAAAGAACGCGATGGGGAATGGCCTCTCCCAGTGTCTGCTCTGTGGTGAACTGCTTGGGCTTCTGGGCAGCACGTCAGTCTTTTGTCAGGATTGCAAAAAGGTGGGTTTGGTCATACAGATTCTGCCTGTTCCTGGTAGCAAATCTGTCCAGAAAAGGCTCCCAGGGCTCTTGAAAGCTAGATAGCTCTGTAGAGTTATCTTAGCTCCACTTGTCTAGGTCAGTGCTGTCAGACCATCCCGTTTTCTCTTGCACCCTGGTTATCTTATTTCTCAGGATCCTGAAGAGCCTAAACTGCACTTAGTGCTGAGATGGGGTGCATCAGCCCCCTCTGCAACTCATAAAAGGGTCTGTGTGCTTTACTGTTATTTACTGCAAAGTCTGCCCTTAGACCTTCCAGTAATGTGTCTCTTCAGAGGACTCGAGTCCATCTTCAAGTTCCAAACCAGTGTAAGGTTTCCAACCCTGATATATAAATTAGCCTGTGCATCAATGGCTGCCCATGTTTGTATATGTTGTTGGCAGGACTGCACGGGTGCTGTTTGAAAGGGAGCATCAGTTTTCAGGGAGACTGCTGTTCTGCCAGTGCCCTGGGGGACGATTGTTTCTTGTCTAGACTCTGCAGCCAAGGGGTTAATCTGTAGTGCTGTGGAGATGATGATCTCCAAGGCAACCACCTTATCCTCCCTCTGCTGGGAGGCTGTTTTTCTTGCACTTGAAGCCCATCTTTCCCTGGGGAGATACCTCTGTAAGTGGCTTTGTCTCAGCGTGTTGCCTGGGGAGAGGTGAGGGTACCTGCTGGATGCAGGAGTGATTCTGACTTGCTGGTGGTAAGGCGGAAGGGAGCAGCCTGTGCTGACTCTGTCCTTGGTGGGTACTGGAGCCAAGGAGACGTTTGCCCATGTCACACACCCCGTCCTGTGGAGCCCACAGGACAGCACTTAGTAAAACCTGCTCCTTTACTGGTGCATGTTGGCACCTCTGTGGTTAAGCAGCCATGCGGGCCACGATGGAGAACATTTCATGCTGACACTGCTGGAGTTTGTGAGATGCACTTGTTGTGCAGGTCCGGCTGCCGGGCTGGGCCTGCACTGGTCCACGTTTGGCTGCAGCACTGCTGGGCTTAGAGCTCTTGTAAGAGAGGGAAGGGAGGTGGGTGCCCCTTGCAGTCACACCCCAGGTCCCAGCATCCCTCCATACGTGCTCGCTGGGCAGGGAGCTGCTGTGAGCTGAACTGCCTTTGCTGTTGAGTGAGTTTCTCCACTGGATCCAATTTGCAGAAGTAGCTTGGCTGAGGCAGGGGTTATGCAGAGGATTGCTTGTAAGGCAGTGACTGGGAAAGTAAACGCAAATCTTTGAACCCCTGGGTCCTAAGCCAGGGATAAAGTAGCTTTTTAGGAAGGGGTGGGGAAGGAAGCAGCAGTAAGGTACTGGGAAGTGAAAGGTCTGGTTTAAATGGGAGCTACAGAGCAGCTCTCTTGGAGAGGAGCATGGGCTCTGCACGCACGTGTCTATGGAGAATAACGGGCTGGATGGCAGACAGGAGACAGCTAGCTGTTTCCTGAATTTCAAGCATGCAGAATAACAGGATGTGCTGTATTCTTGCCGCCTTCCCTTGGCGATTCTGCTCTCACCTTGTCCGAAGCCAGCTAGGTCACATGGCCACAGCACTTTCTAATCTCCTTCCTGTGAGCCTTGTACACTAATGAGGAGGCAAAAGCTGGTGCAGGCACTTCCCTGCCCTGTCCATTTGCAGTTGCAGGTAGTAACCCCTCCAGCTAGTGAGGTTGCGTGAGCCCGAGGCTCTGGGAGGGCTCTGACCAGAAAACCCCAAAGAAGGGATGGGTTTTTCTGTGGTTATTGCCTTTTTGTCTGGAGTCTGTTGGGCAGTTCAGGAGGATTCATATCCAGGTTGATTTAAGGTGAGACCTTACTTTTCCAGTTGTCCATTTTGCAGCTGCTTTCAGCTTGGCTACCCTTTTCAGTTGTGTGCAAGCTCAGGGCAATGCTGACTGGGTGCTCTGGGTTTCTCCCCTTGCTGCTTTTTAATGTTGTGGAGTGAACTCAGGGAACAGTCAACTCTTTGGTAGAGCACACAGAGTGGACTGTTACTTTAAGCTTGTTCCCTTTCGTCCGGGGATATCCATCACTCGTGCAGTGTTGTATGCAATAAGCAATGACTTGTCAGGGAATTACGGATTTTTAAAGTTCATATTTTTCTTGCTAGTGTTGCTCTGTTGCCGTCTCATTGCAGCCTGTTTAATTCAATAACAGGAATTGTTATAATGATGCATCTGAAACATAGCAAAGAACTTACCTTCAGCCAGTCCCTTCTGCTGAATAGAGGTTCTATATTTCTTGTAGACTGGTGGATTTTCTAAGTGCCACTTTCTGTTTTATGAAGACTATTTTTAATATTAGTTTTTATTATCTTAGAAATAAATGCATTATGGCAAGACAAAGATGTATGCAAATCCAGATGTGTTAACAATAGCAGTAGTTAGGCAAAGCATAATATGTCATTTACCATGCAGAGGGTATCAGTATCGTGTATAAAAGGTGAAGTATAAGTAGGAGAAGAAAGTGCTTTATCTTGTATTTAATGAGGAATGGGGCTGCGTTTAATGTCCTTGATTTTTATGTCTTCTGAGGGATTGAGAGTGATGCTCAATTTTCCAACTAGTCTGCAGAGAAGGGGAGGAGGAAAGCCCTGTTTTATATTGGAACTTTCAAAATTTATGGCTAGGGATAAAATCCCTTGGAAACTTCCACTAGAGGGAGTGTTTGAATGTGCTATATGTGTGGGGACTGGGATCTCTGAGGGTATTTAAGACTGAGTTGCTCCCTCAGATTTTGATTTGAGGGAAGGATAATTTGGAGTACTTCAGGTGGCATCTGCTGATTGCATCTGCAATCCCTCTTGGCTTGGGTAGCACCATGTTGAGTATTGATGCACCAGACTCAATAGGTTGTTCCTTATTTCTCTGGGAGGATGAGGGCGAGGTCAGGAACAGAGAGATGGAGAGGAGACCCAACCTCTGTGGGGCTGCAGGTGCTGCCTCCCACTTTCTGTGCAGCATGATTCAGGGACAGACCTGCCTCTGGACTGTGCTGACCAAAATAGTTGGGTGCGTTTGTTCTTGCAATGAAGCCATTGCCTCAGGTACCATCGTTCTGCCGCTCTCCTCCTCCAGGCGTGGGCACTGAGGGCTGAGTGAGCCACTGAGACTTTCGTCCTTGGACACAGTCCTCCTGGCTCAGAGGAGGAGCAGCCTACTTAGGGGGGTATGTAAAACCTTAGCTGGGGAGATTAAATTCACATGTCTCTCTAAGCAAGGTTGTGGTCTCCAGGGCCCTCTTGTGAGTGGCATTTGCTCTGTGAGGATCAAAGAATTCATCCAATTTCTCATTCAAGCTGTAAGCCGAGCCTGATACACATCAGCTTCATTATATAATATTAGGTGATTCAGGTTGTAAATGGCTTGTAATGCCAGCAGAGACATGAAAGTTCCCTTGTGCAGCAATAGAGGCTGTGAGGCACTATCAAGCATTCTGCTCAGGAAATGTGCGTGTAGGCACGGTCGTGCCTGCTTCCTAAGCAGCCACAAATCAATAGCTGCTGAGTGCGTGCTGAAATGGAGGGGAAGCCGAGGGGTTTAAGACTACGTATGTGAGGGAAGAGAGGAGAGGATTTCCAGTCTTGCACAAACTCGTGCTTGTTTTGTACTTCGTTACAGCTGTTTTCTATGCCACAGTGATTGAGTTCTAGGATTTAAAGGAATAAAAAATACCACCCTAGAAATATGCCTGTTAGTTATGGGGTTTGATTTGCCCTGTCTGGTTCTCTTCTCACCCTGCAGTCAAGGACTGTGCTGTAGATCTGCCTTTGTCTCGTGTCCATATAGACCTGAAGCAGCTTCCTGTGATCAGTGGTTCTCCAGGATAAATAAGAAAACTGTGCCATGTTTAGGTTTTTAAGGAAAGCAAAACAGAACTGTTGGGACAGATGCTTCTCGACCGTCTCTCTCCCAAGGGCTATATGGCTGTGGGGAGTTGCTAACGCCACCTTTTTTTTTCTTTTTTTCTCTCTCCTTGTTTCAGAAAGTTTGCACCAAGTGTGGAATAGAAACCTTTGGAACCCAGAAACGTCCTCTTTGGTTGTGCAAGATCTGCAGTGAACAGAGAGAGGTAAAATGCAACTGTGGAGAGATGGGGCTCAGCAGCCTGCACCTACCTGCCCCAAGTCTGTGCTGAGTGTGCGTGGACTCTTCCCTGTGCCTGGGCACTGGGAGGGGAGCTTGGGATGGGGTTTGGGAGGCTTGGCTGGAGGCCAGGCAGGCTCGAATACACACAGTGGTGACAACTTTGGTTTATGAGGGGGTGGAGGGAAAAAAACCACACCAGCCCCTGCAGTCTGTATGGCTTTGTGGAATTTTTCTAGCTATGGTCATAAAGAGACTGTTACCTTTTGCTGCTGCACTCCCTCCTAGTTCTGTGGCAAATAAACTTGGCTAACACTGTTTCTTTAATACAGCTGGAGAGATCTATAGCTTAGCTGCAATATTTGTCCCTCTAAAAATAACTACGATTGCAGCTTTTAAGTCTGTTTTCCTCCCTGCCTGCAAAATCCCATAAATTGCCAGTATGTGAGACTTCTAATGTAGGTCTCTAAATTTTTATATCCTTCATCCTTGACTTTACACTGCAAAAGTAATGGCCTGCCTCAGTTCTTGTGTGCCAGCCAGCATCCACCAACATCAGGGCTTGCTGCTTTACAGTGAAGTGAAACTGGTGAATTTGTTCTGTGATTACAGAAGGATTTCCCCTTGTTCCCATCAATTCATTTTGGGCTTTTGCTGTGGTCCTTGAACATCAGTCCAGTGCAGCTATTTCTGACCACTGCAACCAACTGTGAAACCTGGGTGCTGGGCTAAATTAATTTTTGAAGTGCAGTGAGAGCATTTGTGCAGGTGTTCAAGGTGCTGAAAGTTTTTTATACTAGTTGTGGAAACTTAAAGTTGTTTAGGTTTTACATAGGAGGGGATTGTCTGCGTGGGAGCACTTGCAAAGTTCATGTTCAGGTAAGATGAGGGGTATGTGGATGCTGCTGGCCTTTAATTTTTGAGCAGCAGTGTGGGTGTGGATGGGGCAGGCAGAGAGCATTCCAGCTCCCTGGATATTGCTAATAATTTGATACACTGAATCATCCAGATGTTTTGAATTCAAGATGGAGGTCCCAAAATGGAGAGTGAGGCAGGTCAAGATATTTTCTGTGTTCTGCAGGGAGATGGGTATGGGACTAAAATTGACTTTATTTCTGTTTTTTCTGTTCTTCCTGTATTTTTTTAAATCATCCTCCACTGTATAATTGGTTTATTTCTTCCTATTTCTTATAAAAATAATGAGGAGCTGTGGTCACTGGACAGAGAATAATATTAACCTGTCCAGTAAGTGTTATGTGCCACCAGTGTGTGACGGTACGGTAACCTTCAGAGCTCGCTGTCTCCGTGAAACCTGAGATATGGCCAAAGTGCTTCCCTAATGAAAATGGATGGAACTTTCCCTCTTAGACTAACTAAAAAATAGCCTCATCTTACCTCCCAACCCTAAGCTTTGTCTTTATTTTTTTGATTCTTTTTAAGGTTGGTTCAGGTTTGTTTCCTTTCTTGTTTGTGGTGGTGCTGGTGCCCTGACCAGGAGAAGGTTGGAAGGGTCACAGTTTGGACATGCAGTCAGGCATCAAGTCATACATCCCCTCTGTCTTCCCACATGCTCTGCTTTTATTTTGGGGGAGGGCAGGGAAGCATTGAGAATTAGCAGAAGCCTTGAGGCATGTCAGACAGGGCAAGGAAGTTGAGGCAATATCAGAATAAATGCCTGAAAAGTGGCTTTGATCAGGTCTTCCCTAAGAGTCTGTGTAAGGAAGAGATGAGATTCTTAGGTCTCAGGCTGATGGCTGGTACTAGTGCAGTCCCTGAAGCTGGTTCAGGTGTCATGATATTACAGGGCATGCACTAAATTACCAGGTTTCTTTTAAGGGCTTGTGTTCACAACCAGTTCCTTGTTGCCATTTGTTTCTGTGATCTGGATCTGTCTTGTGTTGCCATCTGCTCTGGACCAAACCCATTTGGCCATGCTCTTTGCTGAAGGTTATATTTGCTATCAATGAGTGCAGATGGATGTCTGCTCTTTGGGATCAGATATTCTTGCTTCTGTCTAACCTCCGAATCCCCTGCATGGTGAGTAGGTATCGGCCTTATTTTATTTCCTGGGATCCAGGCAGGGAGCTTCAGGAACCCACCAAAGCATTTTGGGTTATGTGATGCAGTAGCAAGCCAATACCACTCGTCTCTCCCCTTCTCAATGCACAGCGTGACTGAGCAAGGTTCTTTCTTAGCCCACGCCAATGAAGCACATGCTTAAAGTAGGCTTGTCGTAGGCCACAGAGCCCTCGCAACACCTCCCAACTTGTCGGGCTGTGCTCAGGCCCCTGAACTTGGCCAGCTCTAGTGGGCAAGTGTTTGATGCTGGTCCGGAGTGCTCCCCTCCAGCAGGTGTGATGAGATGTGCTGTTTTCAGGCTAGGTGATGCCCTCCACATCAGCACTCTGATCGCTGTCTGTAATTTTCTGAACCACCAGTCAAGCTATTTGGGCATGATATTTATGAAGCTCTCAACTCTGTTAGTGAGAGACTGTCAGACACTGAAGTGAGAAAGGGAGGTCATTTGGAAACTTGGATGGACTAAAAGATGTTGGCTAGAGTTAATAAGTGTCATCTGGCTGGGACAAGTGCCTAGGACTATAATTGTCCCCTTTAGCCTCTGTCACGCACTGAGTGAGCGCGTGAGTCTTGTGGCCCACCAGGATGTCAAGCCAGGATGGTAGGGTTGGACGTTCACATATACCAGTTAATAGCCAAAGTGTGCAGCATTGTTGATACAAGCTAAAGCTCTCATCCCTCCGTCTTCCTTGTTATTATTTATCCTAAAGATTAGTGACATATGGTAGTCATCTTCCCCCTTTTGCTGTGTGGACAAAATCTGTGCTGGCTTCAGTTACAACTAAATCATCAGTATGCCTGGCTCAAGATGAAGACCAAAGTAACAAGCTATTGTTTACATCAATTTTTCAGTTGGAGTCGAATGCTTGATGCCCATAGATCCCTTTGGGAATCTCAGCCTCAGCCACTCGGAAGTGTTCTTTGCTGCTTTCTGTTTCCTTCAAAAAACCTCCACTGGGAAGGCTGTGCTGCATAGCAATGAGGAACAAGTTGCTGTGACACTGTCTTATTTTGGGAGAGTGGAGGTGATTAATGGATTCTGCCTGCTGCTTGCATCCCAATCATCCAGAAGCAAAATGGCATGTTCAGCAGCACTTGAGCTGCTGAGCGTGATGTGTACATGCAGGGTGAGGGTCTCCGAGCTGCCAGAGAGGTGTTGGGAGGAAAGTACTGTGTTCTCACAAGGCCGGGACCTGACAGAGCCTGGATGTTCCTCCTAGCAAAGAGAACATCCCCAAGGACCAGCAGACACTCCTGCATCATAAGTGCATCTCTTCTTCCTGAAATAAGATAAACCTCCTCTGCTTTAGGCCAGAACTGGCCTGTTGGAGGTACCACTTGTCCCAGCTGTTTGCAGAAGCATCTGTTGAAAACCCCCTTTTGTTCTTCCAGGATTCTGTGGATGTTTTCCTTTGCAATGTCTTCTAAGGGTGATGGAATTAAAGCAGGTGTGGATTGTGCTTTATTGTTCTGCAAGCAAGGGTAGAAGCAAATTCAGTCAAGCCCACTTCCACTTTTGAGGGCAAGAATCTCCCTTCTTCCCTCCTCTGTGTGCTGCATTGCCTTTCTTGGCTTTGCATCTTGCGTTGCCTTTCTGGAGACCGAGCGTGGAGGGCTGATCCTCCTTGGAGCAGTCCTGTTTCTGCACGTGTATGAAGTCCCGTGGCATGATCAGGTGTGCTGATCCCTGACTGCAGCAAACGTTGGCCTGTTTGCTAACTTGGCAGTGAAGCAGTGATGCGTCCATGGGAATGAGAGTGCAGGGCAGAAAGGGAGCAAGTCCTCTAGCAAAATGGGCTTATTGCAGCAGCTGTCAGAGGAGCAAAACTGCCTGGGAGGGGCTGCAATACAGCTGGAATGATTCCCTGCTGCCAGGCCTCTGGCAGAGCACGTGAACTTGATAACAGCTTGGGTAGCAATGCCTATGTTGAATTAGTCGCATGTGGCTGGAGTCTGCCTGTCACCTCCTGGCCTGAAAGGAAAATGGGACCTGCTGTGTTTTGTCAAATCCCTGCCCGGCCATTTAACTCTCTGCACAGCCTTGTTTTGACTGATACCACCAGGTTCTGCAAAGCACCTTCCTGAATTACCACTTTTTTTTTTTTTAATATCCATAATTAGCGATGTTATCATCGTAATTAAAATCCTCTTGGAAGCGTTTGTGCACATTTACATTTGAATTGACACATCCAAAATTGTAGCGATAATGAAAACAGCTTAAGCAGGGTGGGGGGAGATAGCTTTTTTTTTTTTTTTTTTTTTTTTTTAAAACCCTTTC